CAACAGATGGAAGATCTCTCTGTGTCTTGTTTCTCTGTCTTTCAAGTAAAATGAAAATTAAGTAAAAAATCAAAGTGAAATTGTACTGTATGTTTTGTATCCGGCCCTTTTCCACATAATTCTTATCACTAAATATAAATTGCATACTTTTAGTGACTATATAGTGTGTCATTGCTTTGTACAGATGGCCTTATCCACTTTTTTTTTTTCTTGACAGAGTTAGAGAGAGAGAAAGGTCTTCCTTTTCCGTTGGTTCACCCCCCAAATGGCTGCTATGGCCAGTGCGCTGCGCTGATCTGAAGCCAGGAGCCAGGTGCTTCCTCCTGGTCTCCCATGTAGGTGCAGGGCCCAAGGACCTGGGCCATCCTCCACTGCCTTCCCGGGCCACAGCAGAGAGCTGGACTGGAAGAGGAGCAACCCGGACAGAATCCGGCGCCCCAACTGGGACTAGAACCCCGGGGTGCCGGCACCGCAGGCGGAGGATTAGCCAAGTGAGCAGTGTTGCCGGCTCCACTTAATCTTAAAAGGGTATACTTTTAGAAGTTTGCTGCTAATGCAGAACCTAAGAAGCAGTGGTAATGGCTCAAGTAATTGGGTTCCTGCCACCCACATTGGGAGACCTGGTTTTAGTTCTTGGTTCATGGTTCTTGCCTCTGGCCAGACCCAACCTTGGCTTTGTGGCTATTTGGGGAGTGGACCAGAACCCCCAAACAAAACACTGCTATGAATGAACATCTTTGGATACGTGTCTTTGTGCACATATCTAATTATAGTTTACGATAAATTTTTAGAAATAAAGTCAAAGAGTAGTATTTCTTTTCTATATCTAGTCTTTCAGCATCCAGCCAGACTGGCCTCCATTTGCTTCTGCCTGTCTCACTGACCTGCCAAGTCCAGACTGCCATTAAATCTCACCTTCACGGTCAGTTTTCTTTATTTCCATTCTTCCATGTAACAGACCAGATGATCTTAAAGTGGAAATCAAATGTCTTATACACCCCTCCTAAAGTGACACCCCTACTTCAGTGACACTCTTGGGGACTAAAACCAAGTTAATAATAAGTGTAAAATTCTTAAGATCCTGTGTGATTTGTCTCTGCTGCTTCTCAGAACAGGTCTCTATAGGTGTTCAGTAAGTATTTGAATAATAAGTAAAGTGAAATTACCAGACTAGGAAGAATTACCGGTTTTTGATGCACTTTTCCAGGTTAGCATTAGTAGATGAGAGTTCCAGTTGCCTCACTTTCTGGCCAACTCAGAGCATTATCAACCTTTTTAGTCTTTGCCAATCTGATAGGAAAAAGTGTTATATCAGTGTTGTTTTAATTTGTATTTCTTTGATCACAAGTAGGGTTAACCATATTTTCATCTCTTTATGGAACACCTCTGTTTTTGTGTAAATATGCGTTCATGTGCTGTCTTTTTTCCCCAATGGAATGTTTAATTTTTCTTATAGTATCTTAGTAGGAATATTCACATTCTATAGTATATATAAAATTAGTTATCTACTCCTGTTAACAAGCCACCTCAAAACCTTGTAAAACATGAATCCAGGGGCCAGCGTTGTGGCGTAGCGGGTAAAGCCGCCGCCGGCAGTGCCAGCATCCCTTATGGGCACCAGTTCAAGTCCTGACTACTCCACTTCTGATCCAGCTGTCTGCTATGGCCTGGGAAAGCAGTAGAAGATGGCCCAAGTCCTTGGGCCCCTGCACTGACGTGGGAGACCCAGAAGAAGCTCCTGGCTCCTGGCTTCGGATCAGTGCACCTCCGGCTGTTGTGGCCATCTGGGAAGTGAACCAGCAGATGAAAGACCTCTCTTGTTGTCTGCCTCTCCTTCTCTCTCTGTAACTCTGGCTTTCAAATAAATAAATAAATAAAATCTTTAAAAAAACACGAGTGAATTGGCTGGGCAGTTCTTTCTCCGCTCCTTCCTGGACTAAGTCATGTGTTTTCATTCACTTGACTGGGTTCATCTGAGGGGTCTGTTTGGCCTCCTCCCCCGATCTCTCACTTAACATTAACAGCCTTCTCATAAGAGCATGCACCAGTATGAAAACTTCTGAAGCCCCTGCTTGTCAGGTGGTCAAGCACAGAGTCGGTGTGGAAGAGGACTACACGAGGACTTGTCAGAGGGTGTGATTCATTGAGGGCCATAATGTAAAATCTACATGTATCTTGTAAATTTGTCATTTTTTAAAAATATTAGAATATTGATTTAAAAGACATAGTTACAGACAGAGGGAGAGACAGAGTGAGCACTTCCATCTGTTGATTCACTCTCCAGATGGCTGCAGTGGCTGGAGCTGGACCGATCTGAAGCCAGGAGCCAGGAACAACTTCTGGGTCTCCCATGTAGGTGCAGGTGCCCAAGGCCTTGGGCCATATTATGCTTTCCCAGGCGCGTTAACAGGGAACTGGATTGGAAGTGGAGCAACCGGGACTAGAACTGGTGCTCATATGGAATGCTGGCGTTGTAGGTGGCGGCTTTACCTGATGCACCACAGCACCATCTCCAAATTTGTCACTTTTTATTTATTTATTTATTTATTTGAGAGGTAGAGTTACAGACAGTAAGAGGGAGAGATGGAGAGAAAGGTCTTCTGTCCTTTGGTTCACTCTCCAAATGGCTGCAATGGCTGGAGTTTCGCCAAATTGAAGCCTGGAGCCAGGTGCTTCTTTGTTTGTCTTGGTTTAGAAGTCTTAAAATTTCATGCCAGTCCATCAGTCTTCATAGTTTCTGTCTATGGTGTCCTGTGTTCCCAACCTAAAATTCACATATATATTCACCTACATTCTCTTTTATTACACTTATAGTTTCATTAAACTGAAGCCATCTGAAAGTGGAAGATGGAAATATAGTGTCATTTTTAAAGATTTATTTATTTATTTGAAAGGCAGAGATACAACAGAGAGAGAGAGAGGTCTTCCATCTGCTGGTTCACTTAATTGGTGGCCATGGCTGGAGCTGGGCTGATCCTAAGCCAGGAGCCAGGAGCTTCTTCCAAGTCTCCCATGCAGATTCAGGGACCCAGCGACTTTGGCCATCTTCTACTGCTTTCCCAGGCCATAAACAGAAAGCTAGATCAGAAGAGGAGCAGCTGGGACTTGAACCAGTGCTCATGAGGGATGTTGGCACTGCAGGCAGCAGCTTCACCTGCTATGCCACAGCGCCAGCCCCTGAAGTTTAGTGTCTGTGAAGTATTTGGTCATGATTTCATCATGTAAGGAGTCTTTATTTTCTGAAAATAATTGGTAAAGAACAGGGAATGTAGAATGAAGTGACCTAGAACATTTCAGAGATAATAGTGCACAGAAGGGGTAGAGAGAGAATGTTTTATTTGGATTTAATCTTTAAAAGTGCAACAAAATTATGAAAACATTTGTGTTATAGTTGTGACTGTGTCTAAAATTCTTAAGAGTAGAAGAAGAATGAATCAAGTGTGGGTTGCTTTAAGAATATTTTTGCATAATTTTTCTGGCAAAATTTGAAGGCAGCATGAAACTATATATTGTTCACGTTATTATGGACTTTTGCTGTATGATAAAGTCCTTTTTGCCAAAATGGTCACAAGGGCTTTATTAGTTTTCCTAGATGCTTTCCTTTGATTTTTCAAATCATTTTCTTTTGAGGGGCTAGTATTCTCTGTTGGTCTTCTGCAATCATTTACATGCTTGCAGCTGCAAGTAACAGATGTAAGGTTCTTTTTTTTTTTTTTTTTTTTTTTTTTTTGACAGGCAGAGTGGACAGGCAGAGAGAGACAGAGAGAAAGGTCTTCTGTTTGCCATTGGTTCACCCTCCAATGGCTGCCGTGGCTGGCGCACTGTGCTGATCCGAAGGCAGGAGCCAGGTGCTTCTCCTGGTCTCCCATGGGGTGCAGGGCCCAAGCACTTGGGCCATCCTCCACTGCCTTCCCGGGCCACAGCAGAGAGCTGGCCTGGAAGAGGGGCAACCGGGACAGAATCTGGCGCCCCAACCGGGACTAGAACCTGGTGTGCCGGCGCCGCTAGGCAGAGGATTAGCCTATTGAGCCGTGGCGCCGGCCAGATGTAAGGTTCTTAAACATTAAGACAGTTTATCTCATATGGTTGGGAGTCCAGAGATGGGGTACATTCCAGACACAGCTGAGTCAGTGGCTCACTGGTGTCTCAGGCCCCTGGTGGTTCAGCCATTGTGCTCTCTGCCTCATGTTGATAGTGGGGTAGTGTGGTGGAATGAGAAGGCCATGCCAAGATGGCTGCTGGCAAGTGAGTGTCAGTTACTCAGGAATGGCTTCGAAACCCACCTGGCAACAGAGCCTGCCTGGCAACAGGCTGTGATTGGATGGCTTTGGAAACCACATGGCAATGGAGCCTGCCCCACTAGCTCTGGTCAGCCACTGGAACAGCCCACAGCCTGTGTTCAGTCATGCCATTCCTGATAACCATTGTTCCTCATTCCTACCCCCATCTGAGCAAGCACTCCTGTGGTCTCCTGTTTTGAGCGCTGGTTAGTCAATGATGGGTAAGATCCCCTGGGGGACAACCTAAGACAGGCACAGCCGCGTACGGAGACCACGTGGAAACGGGGTCAACAATGGTATGGCCAAGAATCATGCCTCCCGTTGCTCGAAAATAAATGAAAAGGGGGAAATGTGTGGAATGAGAAGGCCATGCCAAGATGGCCACTGGCAAGCAAGCGTCAGTTACTCAGGAATGGCTTTGAAACCCACCTGGCAACGGAGCCTGCCTGGCAACAGGCTGTGATTGGTTAGGGCATAAACCACCCCTTGACCAGATTGGCTGCCTTGGCTATTTAAGCTGCTGTACCCCAATGAGTCTGCGGGCTGCTCGCCTCTGGCCCCCTTTCACCTGACTCCCAGGGTCTATGTGGTGACTCCGCGCCTCTTGCCCCCACCACACTCCTCTCAGAAGGAATCCATAGCAGCAGGGTAGGCCATAGGATTGCTAGTCTCATATCCAGACCCAGTAATTCTTGGAGGAAGAAGGCTCATCTTTACTCATTTTCCTTTATGTGACCCCTTAAGGTATAATTTACAAACAGCTGAATGCACAAATCACAAGTGTACATTCGGCTTGGTAAATTTTTATTATGTGTACACATCTGATACGGAACATACTTATACCCTGTGAAGTTCCCTCGTGCCCCCTTTACTCAGTATCCTTCTCAGATCTTTACTTTTGTCAGTGGCTTTGCTATTGGTTAGAAATATTTTTCATCATTTTCAGTGACATCATAAAGGCATGCCTCTCTGAAAGGTTTACACTTAAACTTTGTAGGTGATTTGCATTGTGTTGTTTTGGGATTGAAATAGCTGCCTATCAGTGAGAGACTGACAGGGCAGACGTGAAGTGAACTGAAGTGAAGGCTAATGCTGCCTTGGAAGGGATGTTTGCTGGGGACTCATTATCTACATGGTTAGTTCATTATTTCATATTTTTATGTTAGGATTACTTTTGCTTCCCTGGTAACTTCTGGAGTCTGACAATGAGCTGTTGTGTTAAGATCCTTGTGTCTACCTATTTTATTTTATATAACATTTTTTACATATATGTTGTTTGGAATTCTCTATTTTACTGATCTGTTATCCCAATCCAGTCTGGTAACTGTGCTACAGTCGGAGAGAGCTTCTTGAAATTCAGGTTTGATCAGTGCAGCCTCATGTCTGAAACACTTCAGTGGCTTCTGATGCTCTTAGAATTGAGGTGAAGTTTCAGTTTATCATAGCCTAAGTCTTGATGATTCTTACTTTGTGAATCCAGTGTTAATAACATGGCTCAATAAGTTAAATCCTCAAAAACCATTACAGAGGTGGGCATTTGGCTTAGTAGTTTAAATGTGACTTGGTGCACGCATCCCATATCTGAATGCCTGGGTTCTAGTTCCAGTTCCGATTCTGATCCCAGCTTTCTGCTAATGTGCACCCTGGGAGGCAGCAAGTGATGGCTCAAGAGGTTGAGTCCCTGCCACCCATGTGTGAGACCTGGATTGATTCTCAGCTCTTGGCTTTGACCTGGCCCAGATGTGGCTGTTCTGGGCATTTGGGAAGTGAACCAGTGTGTATGGAAGCCCTCTGTCTCTATTTTTCTCTCTCTCTGCCTCTCAAAAGGATAAATAAGTAAAAATGACAAAAAATTAAAGGATAAGCTAGAAGGAAAAGAACATTGTTAATACAATTATTGTAAGTAAGTAAAGGAAAGAAAGTTGTGCAGAGACATGACCCATTTCCTTAGGCTTACAGTTTAGTGGGGGAGGATGTAATCGGTTTTCAAGAGTTGTGGCAGGGGCCAGCGCTATGGCGTAATGGGTAAAGCTGCCGCCTGCAGTGCTGGCATCCCATATGGACACCGGTTCGAGTCCCGGCTGCTCCACTTCCGATCCAGCTCTCTACTATGGCCTGGGAAAGCAGTAGAAGATGGCCCAAGTCCTTGGGCTCCTGCATCCACGTGGGAAACCCGGAAGAGGTTCCTGGCTTCGGATTGACGTAGCTCCAGCAGTTATGGCCAATTGGGGAGTGAACCAGTGGATGGAAGACCTACCTCTCTCTCTCTCTCTCCCTTTCCCTCTCCCTCCCTCCCCCCTTCTCTCTCTCTGTAACTCTGACTTTCAAAGTAAATCTTTTTTTTTTTTTTTTTAAAGATATTAAGCCATGAGGATTCTGCTCACAAGTATGTATTAAAGCTGTTTAAAAAAATAAAAGAATTGTGGAGAGCAGTACATAGTACCATGAGGGAAGAGAGCATTTCATACATTTGTGGTTGATTCTCTTCTGAGTAATGTCATTCTTACCATATTTTAAATTTTTCTTAAAATATCCTCTAGTACTTATGTCACTTAGTAGATTTCCAGTGTTTTTTTTAACAATCTAACTTTTAAAAAAGTTAAAATTTTAATTGATATCATAACTTTATGGAATACGGGGTGTTGGCTTTAATAAATGTACAGCATACAATGCAAATGATTAAATCGGTCTGATTAGCATGTCTGCCACCTCATTTGGTGGTACATTTGAAATTTTGTTAAAGTATACAGTGCATCATTTTTGACTATATTTACCATGGTGTGCAGTAGATCTCATGCTGTTATTTTGTATTGCTTTTGTGAATTACTATTTTGTTCTCCTTTAAGGAAAAGCTCTCTGAATGTTATCTTCCTTCTGGATATGAAAATTTTTTGAGGCATTTTCATTTTGGGGGAAGATCGTGTAATAGAATCAGAGTCGTTCTGCTCACTGCCTCTGAGGCCTTGACTTTCCTGAACCTCCATTTCTTTCTCTGCAGAATGGGACTAATAATTCATTGTCTTATTTTGAGACTTGTCATGTGTTGAGAGGATTTATGGATTTGGTGTATTCTACTTGTTTTCTTTTTGTCATACCATATGTATTTTTTAAAAATACAGTTCAGGCTCCTGAATATTAAGCAAGCATCTGTTTAGTTTTTAGAGTTTCTCTATTTTATTTTATTTTATTTTTTTTTTTTAATTTTTTTTACAGGCAGAGTGGACAGTGAGAGAGAGAGACAGAGAGAAAGGTCTTCCTTTGCCGTTGGTTCACCCTCCAATGGCCGCTGCGGCAGGCGCGCTGCGGCCGGCGCACCGCGCTGATCCGATGGCAGGAGCCAGGAGCTTTTCCTGGTCTCCAATGGGGTGCAGGGACCAAGGACTTGGGCCATCCTCCACGGCCCTCCCGGGGCAAAAGAAGAGACGGGCCTGGAAGAGGGCAACCGGGAAAGAATCGGGGGACCCAACGGGAATAGGAACCGGGGGGGGGGCCCGCCAGGGGGGGAAAAAAATTAATGGGGGCGGCGCGGGGAGTTCTTTTTTTTTAAAAAAAAAAAAAGAACCTAAGTTAGAAACAGGTCCCCTGACTGTAGACAAATTATTTGCATCCCTAGGAACATGTCCTCCTTCTCCTCAATGACTGCCTTACTTCTTTCATTGTACTTTCTGTTTTTGTTTGTTTGTTTGTTTTTAACGATTTATTTATTTGAAAGAGTTAGAACTTCCATTCACTGACTTACTCCCCAGCCAGGGCTGGGCCAGGCCAGAGCCAGGAACCAGAAGGTTCATTTGGGTCTCCATGTGCGTCTAGAAGCCCAAGCACTTGGGCTGTCTTCCATTGCTTTCCCAAGCCATTGGAAGTGCAGCAGCCAGGGAATGAACATCATAGCATTAAAGGCTATGGCTTTACCTGCTGTGCCCTGACTTGGCCTCAGAAGGATTTGTTTATTGTTTCCCAAAGATAGAGATGGGCTTTTTGTCTTCTTAAGTGTGTTGACTGTATTCTGTGGAAAGCTGGCTTCACTGAGCTCCCCTCCAGGGAACTTCAGTTTTCTCTTCTAGTTTATCTTTGGTTGTCCCTCCAGACTGTCTTTCTCCATTGAACTTATAGCGTCTGTTGGCCATCAGCTCATTTGACACATCAGACTTAATTTTCTCTCAAAAAATGAAGTGTAAGCTCATTTTACTCAGGGCACATTTTCCTGAGCACTTTCTGTTATGTTGAGTATAATCAGAGACTTCAGTAACTTTTTTGAATACATTAATAACAGTTAAACCCAAGATTGTTGATTTAGGCTTTCTCCTTTTAATTTGTTAGCTAAGAATAAATATTGGACGGTACGCTGAACAAGTTTGTATTCTATACAATATATTTTTATACCCCTTTAATAAAGTTAGAGGTACGAATAAGTGATGAAGAATGGCATAACATTTAGATAAATTTTAATACATGTTGAAAGAGTAAAGACCAGGGCTGGTGTTGGGGTGTAGTGGGTTAGGCTGCTGCCTGTGATGTTGGCATCCCATATGGGCACCAGAAGTGGCTGCTCCACTTTGATTCAGCTCTCTGTTAATGGCCTGGGAAAGCAGTGGAAGATAGCCCAAGTGCTGTGTCCCTGCCACCCATGTGGAAGACCCAGAAAAAGGTCTTGGCACCTGGCTTTGGCTCAGCCCAGCCCTGGCCATTGTAGCCACGTAAAAACAGCAGATTGAAGATCTCTCTCTCTCATCCTCTCTGTCCCTCTCTGTCCCTCTCTGTCTCTCTCTCCTTCTCCCCCTCTCTCCCACCTCTTTCCTCCCCCCCCCCCTTAACTCCGACTTTCAAGTAAATAAGTAAGTCTTTAAAAAAACTATATAAAGACGGCCAGCACCATGGCTCAATAGGCTAATCCTCCGCCTGCAGCGGCACACCGGGTTCTAGTCCCAGTTGGGGCGCCGGATTCTGTCCCGGTTGCTCCTCTTCCAGGCCAGCTCTCTGCTGTGGCCCGGGAAGGCAGTGGAGGATGGCCCAAGTGCTTGGGCCCTGCACCCAAATGGGATACCTGGAGAGGCACCTGGCTCCTGGCTTTGGATCAGCACGGTGCGCCGGCTGCAGCGCGCCGTCCTCGGCGGCCATTGTGGGGTGAACCAACGGAAAAAGGAAGACCTTTCTCTCTCACTGTCCACTCTGCCTGTCCAAAAAAAAAAAAAAAAAAAAAAACAAAAAAAAAAAAAAAAAAAAAAAAACCCCACACACACAACTATATAAAGACAACATATTGAATATATATATTTTAATTTTATTTTTCTTGTCAAGAAATCTTCTACAAAATGAGTGCCCTGTTACCCACTCAGTAGTTGTTACTCTTTCATTGAATAACTGTTAGGGTTCTTTACAACTTAGTCTGTAAAACACATTGAAAAGTAATACAAGAAGGTTTTTAAGAGAAACTTAAATTCGTAAACCTGTGCAGATCTTGGGTAGTTTTGAAATAGGCAATTTATTTTTTGTGACCTTCAGATCTACTCTTTCCCCTGTTTTCCCAGATGCTTACCAAATTATCAGTTTTTTTTTTTTCTTCAGAGAAACAGAACCAGCATTTATGTATTTACTGAAAGGAATTGGCTTACATGGTTGTGGGGGCTGGTAAGTCCAAAATGTGTAACATATGTGTCAGGCTAGAAACTCAGACCAGAGTTGATGTTGCATATTGAGTCTGAAGTGTGTAGAGCAGTCAGTGGGTGGGAATAAGGGAGAATTTCTTTGTTAAAGTCTTAATTCAGAATCTCTTCTTGACTTTTGCACCTTTAGTGCTTGTTGGCAGCCTTTGGTATCCCTTGCCTTCTCTGTAGATCATTCTAGTCTTCCCCTTCTGTGGTCACATGGCTGTTTTTTCCCTGTGTCTCTGTCTTCCGTGACATTTTAAGGGTCTGTCCTACTCCATCTGCAGTGATATTTAAAAAGATTAAATCTTTGGTGTTTAAGTGAAAAGACACTTGTTCCATTACCTACTTTTACTACAAAAGGCATCTACTTGATTACTTAGATTTTAATGGGCTAGTAACCCAACTACAGTTAATGAACTGTTTTAAGAAAGAAAATAGGGGCCAATGTTGTGGTGTGGCAGGTAAGCTCCCACCTGTGATGCAGGCATGC